GACTATATCGCCCGTCCTATCTTAAGCTTGCCCAAGTCCGAGTATAGGATTTATGAGAAATCACCAAGCACCCTAACAACCAGGAAAATCATGACAAACATATATACAACCCATAATATACAACAGATAATAACACATATATAGATAAAAAATATAGGCTCAACCCACTTAGGAATGGAAAAGCAAGAGGTCAACCTTTCCCCAGTGAAGTCTCCATTTTTGTATAACGGTAGAAATGTTAAGACTAAGCCATTGGATTTGACTTGACTTGCACAGATCAAAATAAAAATCGCCAGCGCGCTTTATTGTTTCCAAAGGAATGGGAAAAGAGAAAATAACCCAAAAGATGGGGGGAAAGATTCTAGGTAAGGGGGTTGGTTATGCAAAGGGAAGGTATTAACACCCTAAACATCTACGGTACTCTGTAGGAACCTCTTTGTAAAATCTGTATATTTTGGCTATAAAATGTTGTATGAAAATAGATTGTGGTAGTGAGGAAAGAAGTATATTTTTTATGATTTTTGTACCCGCTGCGGTTGCGAACCTTTAGTGTCTACATACCACCTTTCGTGCAATAGGGGATCAGGGTATACGTAGTTCCTCTTTTAATTTTTTTTTAAAAACACATGTGTGTTGGTTAAGTTTAAGAGACAAGACATCATTGTCATTATCCGTGTGGAAAACAAACTTACTACTCACAATTATGAGAAAGGAGAATTTGCATCATCTCAAATTGGAGGATATGGCTTGGATTTCAAAATGAATAATGCCTCACTCAACACAAAAGTGGTCAATATCTCACTTCAACTACATATTGTAGAAGTATAGTTGTTTGCATCACTACAAGTATTGACAAGAGTCCAATCTTTTTAGAAATGTTTTTTAAAAATAAAAGCCAAAATGGCAAAATAGTTTGAATGAGATTTATTGATTTTTAGCCTTCTCACAAAAATCTCAAAGTATTGTTAAGTTGATTGAAATTTGATTAAGAAATAATTTTTGAAAATGCAAGGACATATGTCCAAGTTTATTATGAAAGTGGTTCAAGTTTTAAAACAAGAAGAGTTTTCAAAAGGAGGGAGAAGATTTTTAAAATTAAATAAGATGGGAGGAGATGAAGAGACTATCCTAAAGCATAAGGTTAAAGCTAGGGAAAAAGAACCATCTAACCAACAAGAAGCCAACATTTGACACAATGAGTCAATGTAGAATTCCCATGCTTTGGATTTGAAACCAAGCAAACAACTACAAAAAAAGGGACCTCTTAAGGAAACCAAGCTCCAATTGCATTAAGTCTTCATAAAAATTGGACAGAGTAACATCTGTATATAGGTGAATTCCAGATCAGAGACTAAACATGTAATCATAATAACCTACACACAAAACAAATAAACAACTCAATGTCTTGGGGTAAACCCCCAAGAACTCCAAACAAGATAGAAATCAAGGTCACAAGGTCTCAATGTAGGCCACAACTTCTAATCCTAAGTCCAAGAAGTCCACCGCTCCATAATTCCAAGGATAGTAACCAAGTAGTCCAAGTAACATTAAAGCTTTTAGGGTCCAAGTTGATTATTTGGTATCTTCAAAATGAAATGAAAAGCTCAAGTGAACAAAATAAAAATGACATGAAGATAAAGGCTCAAGTGAGAAAAGATGAAAATAGCACGAAATATAAATGCTAAAGTAAATGGTACATAAAGTAAAAGCATAAAAATAAAGTCAATTGTTAGGAATTAGTAGTTAGTTGGATGAACATCTTGAAACTTGCATTTGGAACTCATTAGAGGATTGGTAGAACCAAAGCCTCTCAACAATAAGTTGCATTTGCTTTTTGTCAAGTATATCATCCATTTAAGAATTCTCAATATAACACTTTATGATCAATGATGTTTAAGTGATCCACTTTGACAAAAATTGATGAAGTTCCATTAGAGGATTGGTAGAACCAAAGCCTCCTAACAATGGATCTCAAGGTTATTGGATCAAAGAGTTCAAATTAACATACTTGGGCTTGCAAACATAGGTTTAGGCCACGAATGATCATTTTCTTAAGTCGAGACAAAATTTAGCGCTATGTTAAGCAATCGTAAGTGGACTTATATAGAAGTCGCACCTATTTTGAAGCCAGTCAAACACAATCTATGCATCTTATGTTTTGAGACATGATATGTAAATCATGCTCCAATAACATTTGATACAATAAGAATGAGATAAGATGAAGAGGGAAGGGGAAATGAATAAACCATATTTGAACCAAAATTTAATCAAACTATTATTAAAATCATTCATCCATTTTTATGGAGTTAGACTCAATACCATGGATCCAATGATGTTAATAAAGGTCATGATCAAAATTTTAATCCAAGATCAGCCAAAATATATATACAAAAAATAAAATTATATTTAAATTAAAATAAAAATGGTTTTAAAATGATTATAAAATGGAAATAAGAGAGAAAAATAACAACTATATTCAAATTAATCAAGAAAAAATAAGTAAGACCATAGAAAAATCAGGAATGAACTCAAGTATTTATATGAAATTTTTGGTAAATTTTTAAAGTCAGAAACAGTTTTTAAACTAATTTAAATTGCTTAAATAAAGGAAAAAAGATTTAAAAGAAAGTAAAAGTCAAGATAAAATTCCACAAAAAATTCAGAAGGTCTGAAACAATGAAAATGATTTATAAAAATTTTCAGAATTAAAAAATGCCAGAAAGTATTTTTTAAACAATTAAAATGAATCAAATAAGGTAAAAATTATGAAAAATACCAAACATCAAAATAAAAATATGAAAAAGTGTTCATAAATTAAGAAATAATTCTAAGTATTTTTATATATTTTATTCATAATTTTTGGATGAAAAATAAAAGAGTTATGAATTTTTGAAATTTAAATCTATTAAAATATAAAATCAGCAAATAAAAATAAAACAAAATAATGTGGACCATCAGATCATAGTCAAAACACGTTAGTAAACTGATCAAGTGGACCAAACGCGCTGTGCTCGATATGAACCTTATTTGAAAATGCATTGGATCAATAAAAGGGCAACCAACAAAAATAAAACAATTGGCACGTTATCTTTGGTTAAGACGAGACATGTCATCGTCTTTAACCTCCAAACACCCTGCAACGAAGATTTTATGTGTTTCTTCAAACGGAAAAATTAGAATACCAGACTAGTATCATTGGATGCGTCTCTTCAAGATGATCTTAACACCACCATCGCGCCAAATTTATATAAAGTGTATAGGGAGATATGGATCAAAAACTCAGAAAATGGAGATCACCTTTCAGTTGAGATTTCTCTCTCAATTCTCAATGGATTTAAAAATTGTAAGAAGCACAAGAATCAGAAGAAGGAGTAGAGTAAGTTAGTGTTTCATTTGGATCCAAATCGTGGTGAATTCTACTTGTTCGAAGCTCAAGAAGGAAGCTATGAAAATGGATTTCTCTAGCTTGAATTATGGCTCGTTCTTCTTGGTTTAAGTATTGGAGAGTTTGTATGATGATGAAGGGTGATGATTGTGCAAAGAATTTTTGGAGGAAAAGGCTTAAATCTCAGAAATTGATTTCAAAATTTTGAAGTTCGTGTAAGGTTTTTGCAGGGTATGTTTGGCTCTCAATGCTTGAGGAAATGAATGAGGGATGATACTCTATTTACAGGGAAGTGAATGAGATGCTCAAGCGTGTGAAATGATGAAGTTTGGAGGGAATTCGTGTGAGTCTGCAGCATGGGAAAAGTGTGACTCATTTTTTTTAATCAAAATTCATCTAAACCTTGCGTTTTAATGCGCTAATCACTTCGAAAGTTCAATAAACATGTTTAGGAATAAAACACGCAATAATTTTGTGATTAGAAGCCAAAAAAAGAGTTTCAAATTTCTGACTTGGTGAAAAATTCAGTTTCAAATTGCCAAATTCAAACCCATGGCATTTTCAACTCAAGGGGTCTTAGGACATGATTATTGAAGCTTTAAAAAGAGGAGATTATAAGCTTTACAATGTGAAAAGAATGGGATCAAATGGATGTTTGAGTTGAAAGTTGTAATGAGTCAAAGTTGGGAAAAAGAGGTTGACTTTCCATACTTAGAAATTTTTTAAGTTTTTCTTCAAAAATGACTTATAATATCTTGCATCCAAACATGGCCTTCCATTTGAAATTTTCTTTTGACCAAAAATTAGGGTATGAATTAGATCTCTTGAATGACATTTTGAAACTTGAACCATTCAAAATATCCAAAAATTGAGAGAGTTATGACTTGTTGAAGTTGACAAAAATTCATGAAATGACCTATAATATTTTGTATCCTTAAGCCATCTTCCATCCATTTTCACATATTGCACATAAAAGAAAGGTTAAAGTTCATATCTTCAAGATCAATGTGGAAAAATAATGGGTTCAAGGGGATAAAAATTGATCATGTTATGATCATTTGAAGTCATATAAAGGGAATTTTAAGGTTCATCTGGAGGACTAGTAATCTTTCTTCATCATCAAGTTTCTTCCACACAAAATTTATTTGAAACTTTTGAAGTGATTTGTCAATAACCCTTTAAAGAGAAGGGTGTCTTTGGAATCACTCAAAAATACCAAAATTTATGCAAGATATACCCTTTTGAAGTTCAAAACCCTAGCGCCTAGAGCAAGAAAATGCCTTGGGAAACCTTTACAATTTTGACCAACCTTCTTGCACAAATACCTTTGTCATGTGAATATAAGTTTTTGAGGATGACAAGGAGAAACCATAGCAACCAAAACCACTTACAAATCTTGAGAATTGAAGGAGATATGCACTTGTGATCATTGAAATCAAAGACATGTCCAATTGAGTCAAACTTGAGGCATGATGAATCATAAAAGACTTTGTCATGATATTACTTCAAAACATCTTTAATGGTGAGGCTTGAATCTCAATGAAACTTTGTTAAAGGAGGCACAAAAATTAACTCACGAATCCCTAGATAAATCTTGATGGAATGTATTGTGCTTTTACCTACAACATCAACAATTGGGGCAAACACTCATTGTATTTATTAGTTAAATGATAATCAATACAAAACTTGGATGATCACAAAATACAAGTCAAGGTGCTTGATGATTCCTCATAGAGAAAAAGATAAAGATAGGGAGAAGAATCAAACCTTAATGTGATCTTGTTGTTATTGAATTGATATGATATGATGAAGGGATCTTAGGGGGGAAAATTAGGGTAAAACAACTAGAAAGTTTCTTTCTAGGTCATAATGTTGACCTTTGTAATATGGTAATTGATGGCTACGATCCTCCCACAAATGTTGTTGAAAGAAGCTTAAAAGGAGAGCTATGATTGATCAACAGAAAAAGGGTTGTAAGAATCAGTATAAAACAAATTCTCAAAAATTAAAATAAGGTGTAAAAGAAATAGTAAAAGAAAAATAAAGCAGAAAAATATTTAGCAATCAGATCTGGTCAACTCAGGTGAAGTAAATGCATTGAGAGGTCTAAATCTAGAAGCACATGGTAAGAGTGTGTGGATGCACGGAGAGAATCAAAAGTTGTATCATCTTCTCAGGTGGAAACCAGTGGCATCGGTGGCCATTTTTCACCCAATAGTGGCTTTCACTAATCCCAAGAAAAACACATGAAAGAAAATGGAAACAAAAACAACTCAGCTTCCATTTTCATTAAAATAAATTCCTCTCTCTTTTTGAACCTCATGGTTCTCTCTCCCTCTCCTTTTAAACAAACAAAACAAAATAATTGAAAACCAAAAAGAAGAATCAAATAAGGTGGCTAAGAAAGAACAAACGACAGAGGGAGATAAGCTTACGACGGTGCACATGAATTGTTACGGTGGCGCCGCCGTGAAAGTTCCAGAACCCAAATTTTTTTTCTTCAAAACACTCGGTTTCTCTTCCTCTATACAAATCCTAAAACAAATTTTGAAGAAAATTAAGCAAATACACTAAATTTGGAAAGGGATTTTCGAAACTTTAAGGAATGGATTCAGTCTCAGAAGAAGAACATCAACCTTCTGAAGCTAAAAGATGGTAAGGACAGTGGAGGAATATGGTTTTTTAGCGGCGGTGCGGGGATTCTGGCAGAGGTGGATTACTCATGTAACTGATCTCCTTTTCTAATTAAAAAATTATCCATGTGTTAGTGTCTGAATGAATGTTTAAATATTGCTTGAGAATTAAGGTTTCTATGAAATCTGTTGGGTTGAGATTTTGTTCTAATGAAATGACATATTGGTTGAAAGCCCAAATCTGAAAATGCTTATGTTCTAGTCCACTAATTCAATTTTGTTTGCAATCTTTGTTATTCCATTTGATGTTACTCTATGCCAACTTGGGCCTTAAACATGTACAAACTGTGAATTATCTTTGTTACTTTGGAATGAACATAATGAATTCAAATTTGTGTTGTTGGATCTTTGGGCCTTGGAAATGTATGGTTTGAACATGTTGTTAGAATGTTTGTTATTGTTGGAATTGTTTGGAATTGAGACATGAATATGCGATTAATTATTTTCTTGGGCTTTTGTGATTATTTTGATTTCATGGATGACATTATCTATTTTCACATCTTTATTTCCTTTTTCATGTATTTATGGAGAACAAGATGGTTGGAAAAGAAGGTAATAACCGTGGCTAGCATGAAGCTTGGAAGATGAGGCCTTGAAGCTTGAAGGAATGGAAGAACTTACAAAATGATGTGAACTCAAGAGCTTGGATCTTAATCTCTTAGAAGAAAGTGCCACGGATTGCATTTGAATTATGAGCACTGATGATGAATCTTGAAGTTTAGATATAGGACTTGAATTGATCTTGTAAGGTTGTTGAAGATGTATTTGACATGAGGAATAGAAACTTGAGTATTCTTTGTAGTTTATGATGTAACAAAAGTGAACCAAAACATGCCATATATTGTATCAAAAAGAACCTTTCAACTCAAGTTAATGAATGTTTTCTTCAACTTTCACCTTTGAATTAGTTCTTAGGAATTTTGAATGCACTTGAATTCTTAACTTTGAATTCCACATAAACCATGAATTCTCTTGAATCAATCTTGATAAATAATGAGAACTATCATACTTGGCCTTGAAATGGATTGACAATGATGAATGGGTATTTGAACTTACCTTGCGACCTCAAATGTCATTTGAATTTTGATGAATAATGGACTATGCCATGCAAATCTTGAATGGAATTTTGGATTTTGTAACTTGGGATAATGTTTGAATTATGTTGAATGCCTTAAATCCCAAGTAACATGAATTTTCCAATTTTACACGCTTGAATTGATTCTTATGTCATACCCTAAAATTTCCCTACTAATATTACCATTCATTCATCCTTTTTTACTAATCTTAGTGTGTTATTATATTTCTTTGGTTAAAATTAATTTAGATTACACTAGTTATTATTTCAAGAATACTAATCAGTTGCTTCTAGATACAAGGGGGTTCAAATAGTAAAAGGGGTGTATTGTTTCCAAACGGGCCATCAAAATCTGATGGCCCATAAAGTTTTTCTTATAATTAGAGAGGGGGTGTATTTGGTATTTTGATTTAAGTCAATTAAGGTTGTTTTTCTTTTGTGCATAAATCATGCTGGCTCATTACATTCAAGCCCGTTTCAATAAGTAGAAGGGGTATGTTTATCATTTTCTGGCCCATTAAGGATCTCTTTGCTTGGTCCACTAGTAACCCAATAGGGGTATGAATAACAAAAGTAGCCTTGTTGTTGCAACTGGTTTTTAAATCAGAGTCGCCACCCTTTAAATTGTATCCTAAGGAAGGAAATATAAAGGAATAACCCTAAAAGGTTCAGAGATTTTAAATAGTTGACTCAGTTCTAGACGAAGGGAAGGTGATAGACACCCCTCATCTACCTTGTTCACAAGGATACTAGGTTTAGAAGTGTAATCTTTAGGAAATAGGGTTTTAATGTTTATTAGAGGGAAAATGGTTTTAATTTTAATCAAGGGGAACTCAGCATAATTTTTTATCATAGGCCTACATATCCTCCTAGGAGGAATCAGAGTCGCATTTCGTAGTTCGCAGTTGATTTGTGTTTTATATGAATTGCAAATATATTCCCATTTTCCGCACGTTTAGTCTAGGTGTCATGAATATCAGAGATTGTTGGACTAAACGTGCAGTCGATTCGAATAAGTTCGCGCTCCTTTTTGAAAGTTGCTTATTGACTTAATTTGACTTTTAAAAATGAATTGTGGTTGGTTGAATATTTTTTAATATATTAATTATTGAAAATATTCTTCTTAAATGATGATAACAAAATTGAATTTAATGCAATAAACAAAATAAATTTGAATGAATTTAAAAAGTAAAAGTTTGTAAGATAAATAATAATAATAATAATAAATATAATACTAAATATATTAAATACCTAATATATATATATATATATATATATATATATATATATATATATATATATATATATATATATATATACCTAATATATATATATACCTAATATATATATATATATATATATATATATATATATATATATATATATATATATATATATATATATATATATATATATATATATATATATATATATATATATATATATATATATATATATATATATATATATATATATATATATATATATATATATATATATATATATATATATATATATATATATATATATATATATATATATATATATATATATATATATATAACAATTATTATAATTAAAGAGAACATTAAAATTATGGAAATAATAAAATAAATATAATAAATAGAATAAATAAAATATTTTAATAAAACGTAAGGGGGTGCGAAATATATAAGGGTAGTAAAAGGGTGAGGTTCCAATAGTATGGGTCTAAATTAAAATATTGAATTCAGGCCCAGACGTCAAGGAGATACATTCTTGAGAGACGTAACAAAATTGGGGGTATGCGAAGCAGGGAGTCTAAGTTCAAATGTTGGACTTGGCCCAAATGGCTGAGGGGTATGTTTTTTTGAACGAGGTAGAAAAATAAAATTAGAGGGGGCTTCGTTTAGACATGGGCCAAGCCCAGAATGATTTTGGGAGTCCGTTAGGACTCCGTGTGGACAAGAGTTGGTTGATATGGTAGGCAAGCATTCCATGGACCGTTGGGTGTTGATCATGCGGCTATAGGCGAGGGTGCATAATAACAACTATGGGTTGGTAAGCGTGGGATAACTTAACCTATTATATTTTCATTTTTTATCAAACAAAATACTCATTCTGTTTATCTTCTTCTCTCTCCGCGTCTAAACCACCTTTTCCATTCCACTAACAACAACGAACCCTAGTTTCCTAATCCACGGCAGCGTACCCTTCTCTTCTTCTCCGATATCACCACCAAACTCATACAACACTTATCAACTCTAACAAACTCAAATAACAACCAATATCAAACAACAACAAAAACAAAAGTTGGGTTTCCCTAACCTTAAATCATCAATGTTCTTTGAGCTAGCTTTCGATCTAGGGTTTTGGGCTGATCGTTTTCTTCTGTTTGGTAGTTAGGACAATGTTGAAGATGACAACAATGGTGGATGACGAAGGACGTTGGCGATGGAATATCTAGGGTTTTAGATATTGAAACCCTAAGAAAACACGGTGATTAGTGCGAATCAGCGACGCAATGAAGACAACACCTCCTAAGATATTCTTCTCTTGGTTCTATAAACTCTCTTTTTTTATAACAATTTCTCTATTCTCTCTTCCGATCCCCTTTTATCCCGTACTGTTCTAGGTTTTATAGAGTTCTACGATTAGACATATTTAGGAATCAATTAATTTGTATGTAATTGATTAGAGTTTAATTTTGTTTCTGTATTTGTATGATTTTTCCTGTAAATCATATGAACCTTTAATGTAGTTTTTGTATTTGTTTTAAGACTGTTCTGGAAATAGATTGTATGTGAGATACTGGTTTTATTAGATTTAAAAAAATCTACGATCTTTATTCAAATTGATCCAATGAATCAATACTCATTTCTTCTTAATCTGCACAATATTCGTTTACACGCATTCTTTCAATTGGAATGGACATGTCTGGTGTACGGACTAAGCTTGATTGGGCCACATATTTTTTATTGAGTTTGGGCTCGCTTGTTTTGTGTGTGTGTTTGGAACGTGAGTTTTTTTGGATTGAGCCTGCAATGGGCCTCTATGCTTAAAAACAAGCACTATCTTCTAATTACAAAAAAACTTAAGTAATATGGTTTTTTTAAACCAAATTGGGCCAAAACGTTTTCTATGATTTGGGCCTGAGTTTCTAATGACCAATCACTTTTCATAATCTAATCAGACCTATATATTTAAATCACAAGGGAAGACACAAATTCTTAAAACTAAAATGGCCTGGAAGTTTGGGCTATGTGTTTTTCTGATCCTCAATCAAGATATTTCCAACCTTAATGGACTGGACTTGGGTCGGGAAAGAAGACTCTTTATCAACACTTCTCCTTTTAATCAATAAAACATAAAATCTATTTTAATAAAAAAAATTTATGTAATGTTTTAATTAAAAACAGTATTAGTAGTCGTAATGTTGATAAAAATTGTTATAATTAAAAACAAAATAATCTCTTCAAGCTTAAAAGCCAAATGGTCCACATTGTTTTTATTGGTTGGGCCTTAACAAAATAAAATAATTTATGGACATCCTTGACTAAGAATATACACCCCCTAACTTATTTTAAAACAAATACTTTAATAATTTTAGTGGGCCGGTCTAGAAACCTTAATGGGCCATCAGATATTGGTGGTCCATTTCTAGATCAATACACATTTCTTCCTTGTTTTAAGCCCCTATAGAAATAAAACCATATAATAAGATTTATTTAATTAGAACCTTAAATATAGTATAACGGTAGGGTAAATTTGGGATATGACAGCTGCCTCTATTTAATCATCTTTCGATTGAACATTACGAGAATACACATGTCTCGCACGTTTTGATCGGACGTTTATTAAATATTGGAAGACTCTGATATTTGCTTGAAAGAACATAAAAATACGCTGTATAGTATTCTTATGAAAGTGGGTAGTAGGCATAGATGATGGTGTACCATCTTACCAGCACTTGAGCCAAAGTTTGGTTTGATTTGATTTTGTTTATTCATCGTGACCTAGGGGATGGATACAACAAAGTTTGATAATATATTACTGCATGGAGACTGACGCAAATGGTTATATCGCAAAAAAAACTGATAACAAACATTGATGCTTAGAGACTGATACAATGAGTTAAATTGAGGAAGAAATTTTGATGGCGACATTGCTGCCTAGAGACTGACGCAATGGATTATACCATGAAAATAATTGATAAAAACATTGTGGCACAGAGACTGATGCAATAGACAGAGTCTGGTAAAACCGTTGCTGCATGGAGACTAACACACTAGAAGGAATTTGATAACATTGTTGCATGGAGACTGACGCAATGAGCTAGATCACGAAGAAAGAACATATTGTTGCATGGAGACTGACACAATATATCATATTATAGATAAATAAACACATTGCTGCATGGATATTGAGGCAACGGGTTAGAGTTTGATAACATTGCTGCATGGAGACTGACACAATGGGTCAAATTGTTGATTTCATAATGTTGCTGCATAGAGCTTGACATAATGAGTTATATCACAAATAAAGGGAACACATTGCCGCATGGAGCCTGACGCAATGTGTTTAAATTTCACACATTGTTGCATGGAGACTGACGCAATAGGTGGAATTG